TCCCGACCATCAACTCAATTGTTTTTACAAAAAGTAGAAAAGTTTTTTAATTTCAAATTTTGAATTCTATAAATGAAAGTTTAACTTAATCTAAAAAACGTATTACGTTTTAGAAATAAAAAATGTGACATTTTAATTTTAATATGGCGAAATTGACACCAAGAATCTCCACTTTTACACATTTTATAAAAATAATCCCTACTCGAAAAGTTCACAGCAATAATCTCTACTATGTAACTGTTTCACAAAAATAAACCGAGTGCATCTGTGCATACGGTGTTAAGTTTTCCGTTATTTATTTATTTTAAATATATTGAATCGAAAATATATCTAAACATTGACACTACTATATTTGAGTTTAATCTTGTTCCAACTAAAAAAATAATTTAATATTCAATATTTCCATAAAACATAATAGAAATGTTTTTCATAAAACATAATACTCTTTAAATTCTCTATTCTCTTTCATTCCCTATCCATATTTTATTAAGATTCATTTTTGTTATTCATTATAATAGAGATTCCGAAGTAGTTTTAGTAATAATACATTAAATATTAATAAAATTATGTAGAATATTGAATTAAACTCAAATATATTGGTTTATCGTAGGAAAAGATTAAACTCTAATATAATATTATTAATTTTTATACATATTTTTGGTTTGATATATTCAAAACTTAAAAAAAATAACGAAAAAGTTAACACCGTCAAAATCGGATTATTTTTGTGAAACAAAAAACTAGTAGGGATTATTTTTGTGAAATTTATGAGTAGGGATTATTTTTGTAAAATGTGTAATAGTATGGATCATAAAAAAGAATATTTTTAACTTTTGATAAATAATCATTTTTTGGATTCTTTTACAAATTAATGATTTGTATTGTTTTTTTAACTAATTAAAATTGATATAATATTTTAGGATGATTTAGATTTTATTTTTTTAATATTTTGAATAAAAGAATTAGTATTTTTTTAATATTTTCGGATATTTTAGATTGATATAATAGTTTTTTTTATATATAAATGTTACTTTTAATATTTTTAGTTTGTGCAAAACAGTGCCAAACAGTGTCACAACAGTGTACTCTACAGTAAAGTCAAATTTATTTCTTTAATTTATGTTAAGTCAAATACTGAACTTTATTTAGGACCGGAGGGGGTATTTTATATTCTTTAATTCCACAAAACTACATAAAAAAGTTAATTAAGCAAAAATAATTTTTTATAATCGATTTTACTCTTTTCATTTATTTATGAAAATTTTAATAGGAAAATTGAAAATAATAATTCCAACTATTATGTATTTTTGTGTAATTCCAATAGAAATTAGTTCAAATAGGACTAAAACTATGGCAAAAATTAAACCTAAAATAGGACTTGCTATGTTTTTATTCCAAAATAGGACCATATGAGTCCTATTGGAAACATACCTATTTTTGCATTCCATTCTTACCCTTCCATTAAATATGAATTAAAAATAGTCAAAAGCCATAATTAAATGTTTAATTCATAATAAATTCGAAAAAAAATCAAAAATTCGTAGAAATATAATTAAAAAATTTATAAAATTTTTATAAAATAAAAAATTCAAAAACTTTTTTTTTAAATAATTTTATTTTTAAAAAAATTAATAAAAAATAGTAAAACTCCGTTAAAAAATTTTAAAAAATATGGATGCCTTTCCCTCCGCCTGTACTACCTCCTAGCACCACCACCTCCGGCCGATGAAAAAATGCCATTTTCCCAGAAAAAATGCCATTTTTTTCTGAAAATGCCAAAAAAGTGGCATATTTCTCTTTTCAAATGCCAACATTTTCATTTTTTTCTGCCATAAATATGGCATTCGTAATGAACTTGGCATTTTTTTTCCTAGTGACTGGAGGTGGTGGTGCAGAGGCGGCAGAGGCGGCAGAGGCGGCGGCGATTTGTTTTTTTTTGAGTTTTTATTTTTTTTTAATTTTTTTAATTTTTTGAAAAAAAAATAATAAAATTTTTAATATCGAAATGTTTTTCTTAATTTTTGAGTATTTTTTACGAATTTTTATTATTTTTTATTATTTTATTAGGAATTAAAACATTTTAATAGCTATAAGGGTATAATTGTCCAAGGTACACATAATTAGTCCTATGCAAACATAGTTCATTTTTTGGTCCTATTTGTGAAAAGTGAATGACTTTTAGTCCTATTTTGATAATTAACTCTAATTCCAATTATGTGGACTGTCCACAAATAATGATTCATCACCAAGTATAGCCTGTTATAATACTTCAATTTTAAATAGAAATAAAGCGTGTTTTATAAATAATCTGAACTATGCTCGTTCTTCTTTTAATAATCCCGACCATCAACTCTGTTTTTACAAAAATTAGAAAACTTTATTTAATTTCAAATTTATAATTTTATAAGTGAAAGTTTAACTAAATCTAAAAGCGTATTGCATTTTAGAAATAAAACATGTCACATTATTTTTCATAAAAATTGTAATTTTTAATAAATTATTGTTTTTGGATTCTTTTGGAAATTCATGATTTTTATTGATTTTTAACTAATTTAAAATGATTTGATATTTTAGGATGATTAGCTTTTAAATTTTTTAAAATTTTGAAATAAAGTATTAGTATTTTTATTTTTTTCACTTTCTTAATATTAAAAGTCAAGATTTTCATTTTTTTAATTTGAATTTGTATTTAATTGGAATTTCATTTTTCACCTAAGGTTTTTATATAGACCTTTTTACCCTCCTTACCCTTTTAATTAATTAATTATTTGTTTGTTTGTTTGTTTGTTTGTTTGTTTACTTATTTATTTTATTTCTTATTTATTTATTTATTTATTTATTTATTGATTGATTTATTTATTTATTTATTTACTTACTTATTCATTCATTCATTCATTATTTATTTATTTATTTATTTACTTATTACTTATTTATTTATTTATTTATTATTTTTATTTATTTATTTATTTATTGATTCATTTATTTATTTATTTATTTATTTATTTATTTTCATTCATTTTCTATTCGTTATATATTTAGCAAGGTGGGAGAAGACTCTTTATTACACATACTATATTCCTTCTACATTGTATTTTGGTTCAAGAAAACAAAATATAAACAACAAAAAGAAAGAAAATTAAAATAATAAAAAGAGCAAATGCTGGTTCAAAACCCGAAGCAATAATAGCAAAAAAATGAGTGAGTAAAAAAAAAGAGAAACTAGGGTCAAAACCTGAAAATGCTCTTAGATAGGATGAAAGAAAATGTTATCACTTGAGAGTTTTTGGACGCAATAAATTGTGTGAACGTAGCCCAGATAATTTCAACAGTCGAATAATCTAATAATAATAGAAAAAATTATAACAGTAGAAGAGAAATTCAACATCAACATATACTGTGTATTAAGAATGATACATCTATGATGAACGATACACAATACTCGAACAACAGAGACAGAGAGAATTTCTAATCTACGTGCTCTACCAGAATAATATGCGGAAACAGAATGTGTAGAGACTTAGCTTTCTCTTTCTCACGTGGGAGTTCCAATAATGATCAATGCGTGAGGCAATTTAGGAATCGGGAACTCTCTCTTATTTCGACCTACACATCCTATATTTATAGGAGTGTGGCCGAACATCCTAATTCCATTAGGATGGGCCGAATATGTCTAATTCAATGACCTTTAATTAATTACATAGGCCCACTGATTAAATCCTAATTAAACAAAGATAAATCTAATTAAATTGAACACAATAAAATATATTCTAACAATCTCCCCCTTTGTGTTCAATTTGCAATGAAGCGCGGGTTATCTTTGTCTTGATCTTCAGAGGTTATCAGCTTCTTTTGTCTTCTTTGAAAGGCTTCGTGAAGAAGTCCTTGCAATCTCCCTTTTGTTGTCTTCTTGGTAATTTGATCTTTGATGTCGGGGGATTTAAGGATCTTCTTGATCCTTGCCTTTCAGAAGTTGCTTTTGATCAGCTTGAATGAAATCCGATGGCGCCTCTAGAATGAATATTCTTGACTTGTTTCAGGCGCGCACATGATTATTCTTCAGTTCTTGAGTATCCGACCTCTGTCTCCTCAAGAACCTAGTTAGCTTTTTCTTGTTTTAAACGCGTTTTAAACACGTACCGTTTGTTTTTGAACAAAAAAGCGCGTTTAAAACGAAAAATAATGTCGGTTCGTTTAAAAAGGAAAAAAAATCTTACTTCCCTTATAAAGCATATTATTCTCGTATTTTAGAAAAATAGAAACATGAAGTGATCAATTGAATGAACACATTAAGTGCATAGGAGATCAACAATAGTGTTAAAGCAAAAAAAAAACTCCTCTCCATGAGCTTGTGTTTTTTGTATTGTTACAATACAATTATTAAATACTAAAATTAATTGCATTGCGGCTAAAGCTAGCATCTCGTATTTTACAAAAAATAAAAACATGAATTGATCAATTAAATGAACGCATTAAATGAATAAGAGATCAACAATAGTTTACAAGCAAAAAAGAAAAGTTCTTCTATGTGACCTCATGTTTTTGTATTGTTAAAATACAATTGTTAAATATTAAAATTAATTGCATGGCGGCTAAAGTTAGCATTCTAAGAGACTAAAACTTAAAATACTACTAGATTTATGATGTTTTTCCAAACAAGCATGTCAAAATTAAAGTTTTTCTAAACGTGACATTTTTTAGTATAAACTTTTACACACAAACAATAATAAGTGCGTGTAGCAGTCGCACAACTTTTCTCACACTACTAGAGAAAGAACATATAACGTCGGTTATTTTATACTTTTAACGTCGGTTCTGGGACCGACGTGTAAGTGAGAGACGTTATAGGTTAGACCCTATAACGTCGATTATAAAATCGACGTAAAAAGTTACCTTCCACGTCGGTTTTATAAAAAACCGACGTTATATATATTTTCGAAAAAATAAAATAAATACATGTTACGTCAGTTATTTAACAAAACCGACGTTGAATATAATTCAAAAAAATAAAAAAAAATACATATTACGTCAGTTCTCTCAAAAAACTGACGTTAGAAGTAACTTTTTTAGAAAAAAATATACATGCACTATAATTTACACGCTTCCAAAAATTGAAAATTAGTACCATACATCCAAAATTCACAGATTACACAAAGTGCAACAGCTCAATACATACTACGCAGAAGACTACTTGCGATTACAATTTAAAGTTCAAAAAAATCAATATTCAATATCATACTTCTAACACAAGGACGTGCAGCAGCAGATATCAAATAACCCTTCAGAAATCACAAAATGCTAACCCATCTCCGACACCAACCTGCATTACCATACCTGCAATTGATCCTTAGAAAAAAAACAGCCCCAAGACATGACCTCAACCTCCCAATTGCAATTCCAAATGCTAGAGAAGAGCAGTCCCACCAAAATTACAATGTGTAAGATAGAACGAAAAAGAGATTAAAATACAGAGCAAAATGCAATTCAAAGACAAATATGTAATGACTAATCACATTTCTAATCTAAATGAACTGAACTTAAAAGATTCCGACATTATATTTGGACATAATCAGCCCTACCCAATTAACTAACTAAAACTATAAACTAAACCTAGCTATATGTACATCAGCCCATGAAAGTTTGAAACTAGTTACCAATTTAAACTAGTTCATACACACAACAGTTTCCTAAGCTCATCATAGTAATGAACTGACAACATATTTCAATTCATAACATAAGGAAAATGTTAATACACTAGAAACCACGATACGTATCGAATAAGTAATGAACTGACAACAAGCTAAGTTGCACATAACAAGTAGCGAATATTATCAAAAAGTAAGTGAAAATACCTCTAAGGAATGCGATTGTGCGTTTGTGCCATAAACAAGGTGTATTGAATTTCATTTCAAAGTTCTTAAGGTCTGAAACATCAAAGCTCTTTAAAATAGAACAAAGAGCTCATTAACTCTCTAAGCACATAAGAACTGAAAATAGTTGACATAAAATATTTGTTTAAATTTATTCTGAATAGAACTATGGATACATAGTATTCTCTCAAGCTGTAGTTATGGCAAAGATTTTGCATCAAATCAACACATCATGTAATTATATCAGCGGTTATTTTCAACATAATTCAATAAAGATGAATTCAATATTTCAAGACTTCATATCTAACCATCATAACAAATCAGTTACCAAAATCAATATATGGATAAATAAAGGAATTTGGTGAAGCAAAAAGCAACCAAACTGTTTTATATTGGCGTATTCCTTAAAACAGTTGAATGACTAGCTTATTTTTTGTGATCATGTTATGAGGTTGTAAAGCACAAATCATATTTCAAACAATGATGTATTCTTCATGTTTTTATAAACTCAATTTAACCATTTATACTTTCTATTATACAAATTACAAAGAATAGAAATCTAGAGAATAACACAGTTTAGAAAAGAGTAAGAAACATGGAAATTTTAGTGGGTGTTATTTAATTTTAAAGGAAAGTTTTAGTTTGAATAAAAAGTTTAAGTAGGTTCAATTAACTCAAACATAAACTAAACAAATGAACATCTAAAATAATTAACTTAGATAGATGACATATGAACATTGGAAGAAAATTTCAGCCATCCAACTTCTAACCTGCTTTAATTTTAAAATAGGGTTTATACTTCTTTGAGATCTTTTGTCAAACATCTTACTTACAATGCTCCAACATCGAGTTACTTTCACTAACCTCTAGTTCTAACTTATATCAATCATTCACACGAATCCATAAACATCTGAATGTTTAATCACTAACAAAAAAAGTTGTTGTAGTCATATTTTGGGACTGTAAACAACAAACTCTGTTTTGAATTAGTAAAAACCAACTGAAAATGGATGAAGAGTGAATAAAGAGTGAAGCGATGAAGTATTACCTCGAGGAAGTGTTGGCTGTTGCCTGTTGGCGGAGAGATTGAAAGAGGCTGCTGGCAAATCGTTCGTTGAGAGAAGGCGAGAAGTGTAGAGGCTATATCCCACATGGTAAAATAGTTGGGTGTCCCTTTCTTCATAAGTTGGGATGAGTACCGCGCTCGTGTTTTTATTTCTTCCTTTCACCATTGTAAAGCCATCAGGATCATCTTCTTCATTGGTACCTGAAAAAGTGTGTTCTGAGACAACCACAGACAAATCCGGAGTAGCATTGAATCCTATTGCATCACAGGGGGGAGGGATGTTCTGAAACAACCAAATCAGGGGATGGTTGTTCAGAAGAAACCACATAATTATCAGGGGCAACAATGAAAACAACCGCATCACAGGGGGGAGGGGTGTTCAATAACAGCATTTTCAGCAATAGAAATTCCAAAGAACTCATCAGTAACAGGAGCACAACCACCTGCCACTGGAGCATCACAACTGAGAGAGGCAGCAATTGTAGCATCAGAATGGGAATCACATAAGGCTGTGACCACATTCACAGTAGTTGAAGTTGGGGCCGTAACAGGAATGAGCACAGGGACAATTGTATCTTTAGTATTATTACAGATAGGGGCAACAGGAATGTTAACAGTAGGGACTGCTGTACTTTTTCCAGTTTCCAAAACCTGGCTTTGTGACCGGGGGCATTCTGAAAATGAGTGGCCAAACCTAGAGCAAGTGTGGCTGAATAAAGGTAACTTTTCATATAGTATATTCTGAAAAAATCCAGTAGCACCATTTCCTATCCAAATTTTTTGGGGAAGTTCAAGTGAAGTATCCATTTCTATACGGATCCTGGCTGTTGAAGGCCTTGAAAAATTGGCAGTAGGGGTGTCGATTTTAATAGGTTTCCCCAGTAACCTAGCTATAGAGAAAGGGCCCGAATATCATGAAGGTGTATTGGCAATCCTTCAAGCGACACCCAAACTGGGGCGAGAGGGGACTCGTGGTCGATAGAGAATGAGGGAGTCCAACGGGTGACCAACATCTGGTACCCAAAGAAATCCCAGACAGATTTTCCCCAAAATCTTTGGTAATCGAGGTCGGATTTGAAGTTGATCAGAACAGTATTCTGATGTAGAAGACCGACAGAGTAGGGTTGGAAAAACCCTAATGCGGCGAATGCTTTCCGAATCGCTGGGAGGGGGCCCTCCCAGACGGAAAGGTACCAACGAGGGCGTACTTGAACGGAAAGAAGAGAACCTGTACGTTTTCCTTGGAGAAGGTGACCGCCGGGTAGCCGCTGAAGGAACCAGACGAACCCAGGCCTAACGCGTCCCAGAAGGAAACCGGTTGGGAGTGCAGTTGGTGGCCGTGGACTGGGTCCCTTACCGCCGCTGAGTACGATGCCTTAGGCGGTTCGGTTGTCAGTCCTAATCCTTCCGCCGCCGGCATCGCTGCCGCTCAGGCTTCGGGAGATCGACTTACGCGACACTCAACTTTAGAGAGAAGATGGAGCGTCTCCTAATTGTCTTTGAAGCCTTTTCATTTTATTCCTAAAGAAGCAACACCCGTTTTTCTATATAACTTATCACGTCAGTTTTTTCTGTTAACAGACGTTGTAATTTTTTTACCTCTTATAACAACGGTTATTTAAGAACCGACGTTAGACGTGCGACGTGGTATGCCATGTTTGTAGTAGTGTCATGTCATCCGTCATCTTGATGAAAATGAAGAATTTAAGTTGAGTGTTATTTGATGAACATATAAATATAATGATTTCAACTTAGTCCCGTTCTATTTTTTTGTCTTATTTGTTGACAGTAGTTTGCAAAATCATGTCTTGAACTTAATTACAATTTTTATTTTTGTCATGGACTTATGCAATTAAGAACTATTCTTTTATGTAGTAATGGAATTTTCTACTTTAATATGTGTATACTTTTATTTCTTTTTACTATATATGTTATCTTGTAAAGTATATAATTTAAATATTCAAAATAATACCCCATAGTTTTTGTCCGATTTTTTGTAACAGATACCGTATTATGCACGTATACGTATTTACACGTTTTTTAAAAGTCAACGTTTTTTTCAACGAATTTTTGACCGTTTTTTCGGTAATGTTACCAATAAAACCCGTACTTATTAAACCTCGTTTAATTCCCGTACCGTATTTAACAACTATGCTCCAGAATGTAGTCTTTGGACTATTTGATGTCAATGCTTTTGGGGAGAACTTGTTGGTGTCACATCAAAAAATGATGATTGAGTTATGAGTATATGCTGACCATTTGATGTGAAGATGAGTGGGCAGATGTGGGAAGATGTTTGTTGTTGGAGGAGAGAACTATCCGAAAATGATCTTTGAAATTTTAAATGTGCTTGGACCGCTCTCCCCCTCATGACGATCTGATGAATCAGGACGTCATGCCTTTGTTCATCCTTTATTCTGCAAAATAAAACTAAAGTCCGAAAACATTGAGGTGTTCCGTTATCATAGTATCAATGTAAACACTGATATGTGACCTGTATAGAATGATAGAAGCATTATAGCTCTGACAGGGCTTCTGACCGATCATCGTGAGGCATCAGAAGTAGATGTAACACCCCGGCCCCATAGGCCCCGAGGTAGTTACTTCTGACCTCTAGTACTGTCCTCACAAACCTCCACTAGCCTTTTCCGCGCACTTTGTCCTCACTCGTGCGCGCCCTGAGAAACTTCCCAGGGGGTCACCCATCCCAAGACTACTCCCGTGCAAGCACGCTTAACTTTGGAGTTCTTGGTGATGAGCTCCCTTAAAAGGAGATGCATCTTGTTGGTATGAGTAGTACTATTAATCCATTTAAATTAAATCTCAAGTATTACAATCACCCCCACTTAGGAACGCAACGTCCTCGTTGCGCCCATAAACCAATCTCAATCAAATCCCAGAATCTTTTGCCCCGCTAAGTGCCTGCCCGATATCCAACGGATCAGCACACTGTCGCAGGGTTGCTCTGATACCATTTGTAACACCCCGGCCCCATAGGCCCCGAGGTAGTTACTTCTGACCTCTAGTACTGTCCTCACAAACCTCCACTAGCCTTTTCCGCGCACTTTGTCCTCACTCGTGCGCGCCCTGAGAAACTTCCCAGGGGGTCACCCATCCCAAGACTACTCCCGTGCAAGCACGCTTAACTTTGGAGTTCTTGGTGATGAGCTCCCTTAAAAGGAGATGCATCTTGTTGGTATGAGTAGTACTATTAATCCATTTAAATTAAATCTCAAGTATTACAGTAGATGTCACTCTGGTCGTTATGGCATGATCACAATGATATGCAAAGAGAAATTGTAGCCCCCGGGGTAACGTAGACGCCCGTTATCTAAAGCAATGGCCTGAAAATGTTGGTGATTTCTATGTTGCAACATCAGGACTTCCATCCAATCATCGGTCTACATCCATAATAGATGAGTCCTATGGAAGTTCTCGCAGGTCTTTAAGACCGCCAACTGACTCTAAAATGTGTTTGTGTCCTAGAAAATTAAAAACATTTGGGAGTGTGAAAACTAGACACGACGTGATCAGTAAAAGTTCAGTGGCGTGGGGCTATGGGCCACTATAGTCAGTATCAGTCGGCTCAGAAGGAGACGGTGATAAATGATGAGGTTGCCCGTGAATTTTGATTAAACACCTGTATGTTGAGAGACAAATGAGTGGTCTAGGTAGGGTTGTGCATGCGCTGTTGGACAAGATGCAACGACTTCTACCCGTGATCTGAATAAATTCAATCATGTACCAATGGGGAATTGTCCGGAGTATTTGAGTGACTAGGATTGATTCTTCAGTTGAGGTAGCAGACTTGTCTTTGAATATTATTTTCTCGCTCAGTTGAGCCTTCTGCTTCCTCAATCTCATAATGCTCACTCACTCACTCACTCACTAAAGGCTTTGTCCCTTGGGTAGGCTCAGTTGGGTATACTAAGCCATTGAGACTTATCTCTCATTGATATATTAGCTCCCCCTCAATAGGAGCACTAAGTAGGATGCATTTGACATTGCTTGGCGCGTCGAAGGAGAAATTTGAAAACTCCCCCTCAAAAGGTGTATCCTTGAGTTGATTCTTGCATCGATCATTGTGTGGCGCCAGAAGGAAATAGAGATGTCCCTCCTTAGAATTTGCAAGTGTTGTTGTTGTCACCCGGGGAGTAAAGTAGGAAGCTCCCCCTTGGTATGTGATTTCTTCATTGTATGGCACTAGGAGAAGTGAAAAAGAAACACCCCCTCAGAATATGCACTCTTGTTTGTTCCTGGCGTGTGTTGGTGTTGAGGTGTGCATTTGTTGACTTTCAACTTAGTAGAGAGTATACACGCCAATACTCTCCTTCATAATGTGCACACTTGCTCCACCTAAAGAATGATTTGCCTTGAATAGGTGCACTAGGAGCTTTTGTTGAACTTGTATGGAAGCTCAGAAAGATATCATCGCTTCCCCTTGACGCATGATACATACTATGTTTGTGTGTGGGTTCTGAATTGAGGTGTTCAAAAGCCTTACTGTGATATCGGGTTCTGGACTGATGTATCCAGAAACTCTTGTGTAGTGCGGGTTCTGAGTTGATTTACTCATAAGCCAAGATGTAGAGCGTGTTCTGAGCTAAGTTACCCAGAAACCATGTTGTAGTTGCTCAGCAGCTCACAGATAGGTTCTTTCACGGACTTCGATGACCACAACTTTCTAGTCGAACCTCCGGGCAGATTCAGAGGTTATCCGGCGGTTTCTTTCTCAAAAGAACACAGCAGATTCAGAGGTTCGGCGGTTTCCAGTCGAACCTCCGGGCAGATCCAGGTTCTATCCTATAATTTTTCGTTTTTCTCTGGTTGGGACCTTCTCTACTGGGCGACCCCCTCTGGCGGCTATTCGGAAGGCCTTCAAGGCACTGGGGTTCTCCAAACCCAATTCAGTTGGTCTCCTTCGATCTAATATGCTCTTGATAAATTTTCAATCCGATTTTGACTTTCAGCGATTTTGGATTAAAAAGAACTGGGATTTCTTTGGCTTTTCGATGTCTGTATCTAGATGGACCCCGTCTCTCTTCGGATCGGGACCCCTCTCTGGCTCCGGTTTGGGTAGTTTTGGAGGGGCTGCCGATTCACCTACATGACGTCCGCGCACTATTCTCTATCGCTGGACTTCTGGGAAAACCTCTGAAAATCGATTCCCCAACTGCCAATTTTTCTAGACCATCAATGGCTAGAGTTTGCGTTGAAATGGATATTTCAAAAGCCCTCCGTTCTAAAATTTGGATCGGTAATGGTGTAACAGGTTTTTTCCAGTCTGTTCTGTACGAGAATTTACCTGCCTACTGCAATTCATGTTACAGGTTTCGTCACTCTAAATGTGTCCAGAAGGACAAAGGTCCCAATTTGGAACAAACTCCTATGATGATCCAACCCAATTTGGATTATGAGGTTACTGCTGCCCAGCTTACACACCCTGTGTGTGCAAAAGAAAAATGTGATCCCAGAGGAATAACCCCCCCTCCCCCCCCCCCTCCCTTTGATCTTGACGCTATAGATACGCCCCTTCTGCTACAGATCTTGGCATATTTACTCTTGAAGCTCACTGTGATCTGGTTGAGTGTGTTCAACCCCAAGATTTTGCCTCTAACGAGCTCCAAAGCTATACAGTGGCCTTGCATACTGAAGTTACGCAGAGTGACACCCCTTTGGAGGCAGTGATCCCAGAAAACAGTCCCAAAACTGATGTCCAACTCATGGAATCTGACTTTGGAGACTGTACTACTTCAGAACATGCCCCAACCTCCCCCCCTTTGATGTTGCCTATAAAGATCCCCCTTGATACAAATCTTGGCAAGCCCTGCACATTGTTAAACCCTGTGAATCCGGCAGCTTGTGCTGTCGTTGTTAGCCATAAAATTGCTAATACGGCCAGACCTTTAAAGGCACAGGCACTTTCTGAAAATGCAGTAGCTCTTCTTGATACTGAAGAAACAGTGGTAGCCCAAGCATTATTTTCTATTGATGATATAGTCCCTGAAAACGAATGTGATGAAACCTCAGTGGCCACCCTACACGAGGCGGTAACCGAGGAATTTCATAAATTGGATACCTGTGATGCTGGCAAGGATGAGCTTGAGACCCCACTTGGAAATGATGAGATCCTCTCTGATCCTACGCTTAGATGTGCAGTTACTACACCTGTCCCAATCTTGTCCAGTGATGAAACTATCTCTGAGGACACTAGAACACTAACTTTTTCTTTTTCAGGTCAAACAGATAATCTCGAAGAAGGAAATCTTGAAGGATTTACATAGGTAAAAAGAAGTAGCAAAACCACAATATCGAAAACCCAACCAAATGAAGCTACACAAGAGGTACAACAATACTACGAGGTGGGATATACATCTCATCCCATGATCACCAGAAGTCACTCAAAAAAACCTCAAAATGAAGAAGACTATTTTCTCTACCCAGTTGACGAAAGGTTTGACTCACCGCATAAACTAGCGGCAGCTCTACAACGTTTCAGGTTATCTCACCCAGAGGAAACAACATTCAGGCCATATCAGAATGTCATCAAGTTTCATAACAAACATAACAGAGGAATATCTGCCGCAATTGGGATCCCCTCAAAGAATTTCAATTGTTGATGTACTTTTTCATTTTTGTTTCACTTTTCTTGTTCTTCAATCTCATCAAATGTAATTTCATTTCCCTTGTACTCACAACTTTATTTTAATAAATTAGGGAAGTGTTCCAAAAAAAAGAATTATAGCAGTAGAAGAGAAATTTAACATCAACATATACCGTGTATTAAGAATAATGAATCCATGATGAACAATACACAGTACTCGAACAACAGAGAGAGAGAGAATTTCTAGTCTACGTGCTCTACCAGAATAATATGCGGAAACAGAATGTGTAGAGACTTTCTCTTTATAACGTGAGAGTTCCAATAATGATGCGTGAGGCAATTTAGGAATTGGGAACTCTCTCTTATTTCGACCTACACATCCTATATTTATAGGAGTGTGGCCGAACATCCTAATTCCATTAGGATGGGCCGAATATGTCTAATTAAATGGCCCTTAATTAATTACATAGGCCCACTGATTAAATCCTAATTAAACAAAGATAAATCTAATTAAATTGAACACAATAAAATATATTCTAACAGAAATAAAAGGAACCTTTGTTTGTGAAGATCATGAAGACTCTCTTTCTCTGTAATTTGGGGGTGGATGTAAAAATGAACACTTTTTTCTTTGAATTTGTTCATTTTCTGTGGATTGTGAATTACACTGTTGATTTTTCTCGACGACGAGTAATAAGCAAAGTGTGGGGGAGTCTGATAGTGTAGATATCTTTTTGTTTATGTTTGCACTTTTAACTAGGTTTTATTATGTGTTGTTGTAGTAATTGCGCAATTACGTAGCAATAATTTATTTTCCTGCTTAGTTATAATGTGTTTAGCTTAGACTATTCTAAGCAAAAGCAGACCAAGGATCAATCAAAAGATCATTTGAACTCTAAAAGAGCAAAAAATGTGCAATAGGATAATACAAAACAAGAAATCCCTGATTTATTCATATACCCGGTCAGGTAAATGCACGATCGGGTATGAACTTGACTCGAGTATCAAATCGATCCGGAGAACAATTGAACGTCCTGGGATATATTTATCAAGACTTGCTATTATACTTGATCGGGTATACCGACATATCCAGTTGGGTATGATTGATTTCTGAGCTACTGCCTAGGATACGTGATCGAGTACCCTATATACTCGGTTGGATATCCGATCCCCCACCTCCAAACAACTATAAATACACTCCTTTTCATCCACATTCTCATACCTAATTCTCAATATACTTAAGCTCAGTTTAGAATAGTATTTTCCTTTATATTTATTTCTTGTTTAGTCCCCAAATGAGTATCTAAACTCTTTTATCTTAGTTTTGCTCTGATCTTGAAGGTTGTTGAACGTTAAAGTTGTGAGTTATTTTCTTAAACTTCTTTCCTTGAATTTTAATTCTTCCTTAGCCTATCTCTATATTAATGTTGGGTTGTTGTTGAGTGACGATTAGTTAACATTTTGACATTAATTACTACTAGAAACGATCAATGAATAAATGATTAATCATTGATGGTTCACAAGTAAGTAACTTCAGGTTATTAATGCATAGATTAGTAATCTTAAGATTGATTAGTTGTGTTGATTAAACCGAAACCGTCGTGTTGAAGTTATCAATATCAATTGATTTCATCAAGGAGTTAAGAGATTAAATACTACTATCTAGTAGATATATGACGGTGTTTTATACTTGGCTAATAGTAAGATCCCGTTTACTTACGACTTAATGGGCTTAATGAATCTAGTGACTTAATCGGTCAGTTGTATTAGTGTGTTTACATAGGACTTATTTTGTAAGTTGACTTTTTCGGTCAGACGTTTTTTTACTTAACCGTTCGGTTGGATTTTGACCATTCAGTTGGATTTTAATACTCGTTGCCCTTTTATCCATTTTATCCCTAAGTCTCCATATACTTCTTGCATTATATTGACTGTCTTTGCCTGTAGCTGCGAGCGGCCTATCGTGCTTCTTCTCTGCTTTCTTCATCTAGGTATTAGCTCTCCTGCCTTCTTTATCTAAGTATTTGCTATTTTTTTTCCTTATTCTCAATCTAATTGTTCTTTTATTGCACAATCTATGTTTCCAATTTGCTGGTAATGTGATTATATTATATATTTAGCTAAAAAATTGTAACTAAAGCTGTGAAATTGACGATTATACCTTCACTTTCTTGCATTATCTTGACTGATGACGCCTCCATAGCCTTTTCATTCATTCGATGCTTCAGGATCTCATTTTTTTTGTAGACGTTTGCAAGTTCTTTTTCCTTCTCTTCCAGTTTGTCCCCTAACATGCTCACCTCATCAAATTCTTCAGGGGCTATCATCTAAAACCACACTTGCAGGGTTGTTTTCTTTTTCATTGGCAGGGAAGTCCTCCTGCACCCGTTTCTTTGCAATCTTTGTTGAGGTTAACTGCTCCTTGAGACATTTTAGTTCCTTCAGAGCAAGCCCAAGTTGGTTTTCTGAGTCAAAAATGCGTGATCCAGGTTTCTTTTGGGTTGTTGGGTCAGATAGAGAACCCCTTGGAGATGGATGATCACCAAGTAATTTGGGGCTCCGTTCAGTCAATGTCCGACCCCGCAGATGCTCTGCATCAGAGCATGAAACTCTACGCTGGGAAGAAACCATAAGAGGATTCGTTTGAGGCATTTTTATTCCGTGAGACGTCTTCCGCTTTTTCGTGGCTGTCCAGCCCTCAGGCAGTTGAGCCCGGGTCACTGAAAAGGATGATTATACCTTCACTACTTATATACTCCCTCCGTCCCACAATGAACTTCACAGTTTGATCTACACACATATTGAGGAAATAAATTCACTATAGGGTAAATTTTATTGTTTTGACACTGTTTTGACATTGTTTGACACTGTTTTGCACTTTTTCGACACTCTTTGGCACTGTTTTGCACTGTTTGACACTGTTTTGATGTAGATTAACTTGCCATTTAAGGAAATGAGAACTTGTTTCTGGGATATTCAAAAAAGGAAAGTGGGAAGTTCATTGCGGAACGGAGGGAGTATGTAATTGATTGAAGTACATAGTAGTAAACCCATGAGGCAGTCCATTCTTTCTTGCTTTTATCAGTCTATGAGCTCACAATGTTGTTGTCTTATAAAATTGCAGATGGTATTAAAATGTATAGGTGTAAAAGTAATTGTATATGGCAACTTCTTTTACAGTATCACTATATCTGCGACATCATTTGTCTGATTGAGGACACCTTTGGGTAAACAAGCTTTAATTTAGGAGTTGCCTTGAACTAATAAATTAGCTTTGATAGTTTGGTTGACATATTTGTGCTGATTTTTTTTTTGCTTGCATATTAATTAGTTTTTTGAAATTTTAAAGGGAAAATCGCATATATGGTCCCTCAGTTATCCACGAAATTAAAATCTCAGACCTGTATTTCTGAGATTGTAAATGTCACCTGTCAATTGTACAAAATGTTGTAAATGTGGTCTTTTTGAGGGGTGAAATATACAATGTGGGCGAGAGTACATTTCACCACTTAAATGATGACATTTACAACAATTTGGACAATTGAGGGGTGACATTTGCAATCTCAGAAATACAGGTCTGAGATTTTAATTTCATGATAACTGAAAGATCATATATGTGATTTTCCCAATTTTAAATTTCTACAATATGTGACTTTTTATTTGTTGACTTTTTGTCCAGACTTCGTAGGATTTAGTTGCTATAATGTGTGATTTTATACTTGGAAGTCTGGCTTTATACATCATTGCCTTTTTGTTGGCCTAGAGCATGACAGAAAGTATTACTATGGAGTTGGAAGTGGTAATTCTTACAAATTTGATATTACAGGCCAAACATTCACTTCTCTTTCCACTCTGGAGCACTACATGCAGAGTGGTGAAAGTATATGCAGCCCACTATATGGAGGGTGAAAGTATGAGGGTTGTCTTTGAGGAGTAGTTTCTCAAATACAACAGATGTTGCTTACCCTCTACCTGACAAATCAACTCCAGTTTACATTCCAGTTGAAGGTCTTGCTGCAAGATTTAGAGATCCCCGACCTGAGTATTCTGCTTTTTGGGAAGCTAGTTATGGCCATTCTACCTTAGATAACACAAATAAGAATCTGTAGTATCCACAATGTATAAAAGAATTTTTATTTTATTTCCACACATTTGTTCATTGTTATCTTAATTACAAGGACGCTATGAATTCCATTTTCATGTAAAAAAAGTTAGAAAAACATAAATGTGGTGAAAAGAGACTTGTATTCATGAAATTTCTATTAAAGCGGATGGTTCTTTATCCATTTCTGATACAGAGGAATGTGGTTAGTGTTTGTTTTGAAATTCATAATTTCATTAGAAAAAGTAACAAAGAAGACGACTTATTAAACCATGAAGCACAAAAGGAAGGCAGATAAATGGAAGAAGAATCAGATGGATCATAATGGGGCACACAAAATTTACAGTATATGACAAATTTGTGGGATGAAACAACTTAAAATATTATCATGAATCTTTTATCTTTAGTTTACTTAAGTAATTCATAGCACAACGATTTTTAGGCATATGAATTATCTTCAAGAACTTGTTATTTTGGTCGAGAAAATAAATAATGAACTGGAAGTTGAGTATATAATGTGACTTTATATAGAAAAAAGTAAACAAGAAATGTACATTCAACACTTGTTCCAGACAGAAGGGTTATCTGATCATTTAGCATAATTCAGACATCCCATTCAACATCTATAGTAACATCTTGTTATCTCTGTGTAACTTAATCTAGAGAGATCCAGACTGACATCTAAATTCATTCAATATTTAATGAAAAAAAGTAAACAATCCCTACGTGTTGTCAATGAACGGTCTCGTTATTAATAACCACCCTCTATGAATTAGAGATACTACATGATTGAGTATTCGAGAGAGGACAAGTTAAAGATGTTAAGATATAATTGGGATAAAAAATATCTCAACCAATAAAAAGTAGCAAATCCAAATCTTTTATCTTATTTATTTAAATCACATAAGTCGTTCATCTTAATATATAAATAGTATCAAGTCAAACAAAATTAAATCCCTCCCTTTTGTTACAATTTCACATATAAGAACTACATTTCCCTGTGGATACGAATCTTACTACGCTACATTACGTAGTGCATATATTGATTTTATTTTGAGCCACACAACGGCTTTAGTGTTATTTATAGGGTGACTATTTCTATGTAAAAAGATCTTCAAATTTTGAGTCTACGGAGGGGTTTGGTGTTCTTCTTGCGTCAAATGTTTGTTTTTGGATTAATTTTATTTTAATATAGGCAATTTTCTATTACAAAAATAGTAAATAGATAACCTAAAAAAGTAGCATTCTATTATCATAGATCCCATATCTTATACGGAGTACGTAGTATCAATGAATATAATCTTCAATTGTCTTTTGTTTAAATCTAAGAATTAATAACTTTTATGATACTAAGAAAACATCAACTAAAATAAACTATTTTAGATTGTTTTAGAACATTACGATTCATATTAAATCTCATACAAAGGTTTATAAAAGAATTTAAAACTAAAAACTAAGGGAGACGTACATTACTATACTAGTAAAAGTATAAACTTATTATATGCATAATGTTTCTTTTTAATTCCAACGGAGACAGTCGCCCTCACCCCATAAATCCATCCCCGAGTCCACTCCCATTTTTAGGAAGAACTGGTCATGAGTTTGGCCGGTTTGAGAACCGGTTTTTGTCATATCCCAATTAGTCCGCATTCAGCCAGTGGATTCACCCGTTCGGTTCGGTTCTGGTTCAGTTCTGGACCGGGTACACTCACGAGACCCTTATGTTTTCTAATTATTAATGAGGTTTAAACATATGCCACATCTAGTGGACATGGACAGTGAACTTGTAATTGCTTTGTTAATAACTTAATAATGAGCGTCACCACAAATCATAATTTACATGTAGTCTTGTAGGGAATTGCTACAACAAATTTTACCTGAACACGTCTATATCAAACATTCGAAACAAAAGCAGCCTAGAACACTTGACAATACCAGAATATTCAACTTTCGGTACTAAAAATTTCATTATTAGGTAATGTTCTCAGATGATTGAGTAAAAAATGGACACTAAGTACACACAGAGCAAAAAATCTATCAAATCTATATGCCTAGAAAAGAAGAAAAATACACATCAATCCAACTACGGATAACCATGGCATGTTCTGTTCCAACCCACATCAACCCAATCCTTGATCGATAGTTTGCGCATGAATGTGGAGAAAGATATCCCCTTCTACTAGTACATCCTTCCCGTGCACTCATGTGCGCCACAATAGCAATTCTTCTTCTTGAGGTTTCCGTTAGAATCACGAACCTGATCCAGCTTATAATTGTAGTCATATGTTAGCTCTTGCAAAGGAGGTATATCCTCTTGAGCGAACAGCATTAGATGAGGGGCTCTCTTGTCATCATGATCAAACAACACGTTTTGCGCATAGAGGTTGGGGGAACAACTATGGTTAAAGAATCTCCCCACATTTCCAAACCACGCCGCATCAATAGTGAACCCCTCACTATCCTTTCTATTAATGTTTTCTAGGTCAATCTCCTCTCCTTCATCGTAGTTACCAATGTCAAAGAGATATTCATCACAATCGATTCGTTTCTCCGCTTCATTCTCATCTAGTAGTTCTCCAATGTATTCACATATAAAACTTCCCGAAGAAATGTGATCAGGGGACCGGACGCCCCATCCTCTAGACTTGGTTTTAAAAATTTCAAGATGATATTGTAGGCCGTTTTGGCTAACCCGATTCTTGCATGAAGGGGGGCAATTGCAAGATGGCCCACACTCGTAAACCACCGGCTTGGCTTTAACTATGGAACCGATATTGTTGAATGGAATCTCACCACCGTTCCTAAGCATGCAAACGCATTTCTTCGAACTTGAGCATCCATTTTTGCAATTGCAACCCTTGGGAAAAGGAGGATTGAACCAAAAAGGTTTTATCATTTTGGTTATGTAAATAAAAGTAGGGGGTTTTTCATCATCAAGATCATTTATCGCACGAACGGAAAATTTCTCCTTGCCTTGCGAAACATCATCGTCCACCACAACAAGATTCTTAACACCACGGTCTCCTTGGGGCTTTTTGACTTCTACCCAATCCCAAGCCAATGGTAGAGTGAGGTTTGGTTGCCCGCGAAGTCTGCATAGTTCAAACTTGAAGACCGTTTTCCCCCTTTGGTCTCTTTCTTGCTTATAGTTGCTCACAACGTACAGCCCTGCATAAATGTAGCCTTGGAAACTCATACCTAGAGTTTTCTGAAGACATATGACCCTTATAGGAAGCTTTGAATCCTTCGAGTTCCTCAAGGCAAGGTTACCCTTCTCAAACTTTTGCTCATTCAGCTTCTTTGTACTAGAACTCGAATCATTATGGTTTTCTCCATGACCAACATAGGTAAGAGTGTCAAGGCATTCAGAGTTAACACTTTCAAAATGACCAGAATCCACAATGCTAGTTACATGGGGTCCTCCATTAAAATCTGTGTATTCTATGTTGGCTAGATATTGGAGATGAAGTCCCACAATTGAAAGCTCCGCCTTGAATTGGTAGGTATCGCCAATCTCAACTCCAGGAATAATTCCAAAGGTTGGTTTGTCTCGTATCCATTTTTTGTTTTGCTTGAGGAGTGATGCAGCTTTTACGGGCAGGCTTCTTTTTGCATACTTGACTCTGCTTTGATCTTCTTTGGATTCTTCAAGAAGCTTGTTATAGATTCCTTTGAAGTGTTGTAAAACATCCAAAACTCGTTCACGACAAGCATCTAAGGAACAATTAACTTTTTCATGCCCAAAACTTAGTTTTCTATGTTTGCCCTTGTTAGGATGCGGATTCCTATGCCCAAGTTTGGCTTCACCATTATTTATACTTTTATTATCAAAGTTACAATTTTCACAACCTTCTGATACCTCCATTTCATCATCATAATTTCTTCTCACTTCAACAGATTCATATCTTGGTGAATCTTGAATTCTATGTTTCAGTGTATTAGGTGTTGAAGAGAGGGCCACAACAACAGTCCTACTGCTAGCAAATATTGGATGTTCGGCGTGAATATATTCAGAAGATTTAGAGGTCACATCAACCTTCTGGTGCTTGGGCTTAGGTGAGGTTTTGTGAAACTCCTCACTATTATAGCAGAAAACCCTCTTCATAGATCTTCTCCCGGATGATGAACTTGTATCACTCGACCAAATCATCACAAAAGAGTGATTGATGAAGCTAAATACTGCCAAATTTGGAGATGAATTGCTCAAATTGCTGAAATATAAAAACAATGAGTAGTAAAAAGAAAAAGTAAAAGTAAATAAAAGGCAACTAAAATAATCAACTTACCAGCTTCTGCTAAAAAGTACCTTCACCCTACTCTTTTTTACATTTATCAATTTAGTGCAGGCATCTAATAGCTGAAATTAGTGATTGGGAAAAAACTGGCCCATAAGCAGAAATCAGTGGGTACCAAAAGGCCACTTACGTTAATGTAAGAATGATTGTGTTTATGAATTCATGTGTCATCACATGCATCAAGATCACCTCATTACCTTTCAAGAATTCAAAGTATACAATTACGTAGACATGTCACTGTATAAACTATAAAGCTAAACTGGAGTGGCCCGTACTTCTACACTAAATTACTGAAAAACTTTAAATTGTGTCTTTCAAAGGGTTCGTGTGCTTGTCTGACATACATTGATGTATAGAAAACCTATAGGTTCATCATCATCATCATTAGCCCAGTGCCGCAAAGGCTCCCACCTACGGTGGGGTAGGGGGGTCGGATGTACGCAATCTTACCCCTGTACTAAAGCACAAAGAGACTGTTTCCGGATGACCCATGGTGAAATCACGTCGGAAATTGCATGAGCTGACTGCTGCTTCATAACAAAGAAGCGCAAACAATTTAGTGAGTCATTTATCTTTATTTCATCATATTCACAAGCCAAAAAATAGTAAATATTTGGCTCCATTGCAAATGATGGAACAAATGAGTTACAAGGAAAATAACGCTATTAATAAAAGTTGGCCCAATATCAGTTGAAAATTTTATAATCACGGTACATATAACCGTAATGCTACTATTATTTTGGATCTTTGTGAATAAATTGATACTTCAAAATGATAAGACAATTGGATTAATAGAGATTAGAGTTATGATAAATTAACAGTCTCTCTGTGCTTTAGTACAAAAGTAAGTTTGGGAATTTTAGTATACATTACATTAGACCTATGAAGCACGGAAACTCTCCGCGGCTCACGTTTCCATGTTTCGGAAACTCGGAACCGTTTCCGAAACTCGGAAACTTCTAATTCCCGTTTCGGGGCCGTTTTCGTAATTAAGAAGAATTGGGAAACCCGTTTCCCTACATTTCGGAAACCTTGGGGATCTATTTTTTTTCTTTTTTAAAAGATTATGTGATGGGAAATAGTTTTTCCTTAAATAGTGAATTTTTGTGGTATTTCTCAGGAGCACCATTGTTACATTTTGTAACGCAATGTATTGTTAGAAATGTATTACTCCGTACATTTTATGTTTAATTATGTACTAGTATGAAACGATTTCTAAATTTGAACATGTAGAGTGTTTTTATATTTGGTTATTAAACAAATTATATGAAAAAATCATGTGCTTATATATATATGAAAAACTTGTGTACATATATTAAAAAATCATTATAAATATATCCTTATATGAAGTATTTTCTAATATTTACGCGTTTCCCCCACGTTTCGTATCGTATAATTTTTAGAAATTATATTTCTCGCGTTTCCCGTTTCCCGTTTTGCGTTTCCGTGCTACTTAGCATTAGATCATTTCCATCATTTGCAATAGAGCCAAAGACTCACTATTTTTTGGCTTCGGAATATGATGGAATAAAGCAAAATGGCTCACTAAGCTATCTGCGCTTCTTTATTATGAAGCAACAGTCAGTCCATGCAATTTTCAATGTGATTTTCACTATGGGTCATCCGGAAAAAGTCTATACGTACTTTAGAACATGGGTAAGACTGTGTACATCCGACCCCCCTTACCCATCGTAGGTGGGAGCCTTTGCGGCACTAGGGTAATGATGATTATGACGATTACATTGGACCAATTCTTTAGGTGATTCCCCTCTTTGTATTGTTTAAACGTATTATCCTACGATCTTGAAAAATTGGACCTTATGTGTAATTTCTGCACCATATACCTATATTAAGCTCTTACCTTGTTAAAGCATGGAGTTTCATCCTAAAACAAACATGTTAGGAAAATTAGTCTAAGACATCATGTATTGGTTAAAAATTGATTTCCTATCACATCTGGGCTTATTGGAGCAAGTCAATTTTAAAATTGAAGTCTTAAGCTTTATGTCCATCTAAATTGAAGTTTGTGATATAAAACAATGAGGGAAGACCAAATAAATTTGTGTAAAACGTTGTACACATGAAAAGTCAATTGTAATGTAGTTAACATACTCCTATGCAGCACACGGGTGGAGATACTAGTACTATATTAAAAACATTATATATTGGTTTACATGTTAATATTTATCCAATGTGGTCATGTGGAATCCTGAGCTGCTTAACTATTGAGAGAAAGTCAGCTACTCAGCTGAGACATTTTTTCTCAAGGGAAACCATTCTCTGACTACACAGACTATATAGACCATATGTTGTTGGTACATAACCTATAAATGGAGGGACTAGATGTCAAAAATGTCTCAAACACAAGTGATTAAAGTAAGACCATTTTTCTATCCTATCTGCGATTTATCCTTGCTTATACAGTTATACAAATCTACTTTAAAGTTTTGGTTTACTTCTTGTAAGCCTATCGGTCCTTTACAACAATAACAACATCAAAGGCTTAATCCCAAAACAGTTCGGAGTCAACCAACATGAAACGACATATGATATCAGAGTTTGAATATAGGGAACAAGGAGCAATGTGCCACACCAATGCCACAACAGCCCCCCAATTTTCAGAAGTACGTTTACTCACTCATTTTAAATAAAGTAGGTATAAGCGCTAATGTATATTCATCCCCAAGACTGAAATTCTACACCCACCATTAGAGAAAGAAATAGACTCTTTTGCTACTTATACACTCTTTTGGTGAGACATTTCTGGCCAATGTGCACCGGATTGCCCCTGTATTCGATTCAATATGGAGGAAAACTATGTTACAACATGGGTTCTAATTAGGACTAGGAATGGAGGGAGTATCTCTGGGTGTCAACTTTTTTAGTTTTCTTTGGAGAAAGTATTCTAAATTTATAAATCTGAACTGAGGAAACTCTACAGATCGAAATATGTATCAGAAATTCTCAATCCGAAGTTACTGGATGGGATTGCTGACAGCATAGGGAAAGTTGACTGAACTTCTCGCATGAATAAATGAATGAACTTCTTGCATCAAATGTTCACATGCAGAACGTTTTTCTTATTTGTATTTTTGAATTCTAATTAGCATAAATTCTTGTGTTCATATCAAATTCAATGCCTTACCAGTTAGTAATCATAATCCAGGAAAAGAAATTATTAGAACTTACATCTCTGTGACTTCGATTAGATATCCAAATCCACCGACGGGAGGGGTACAGGGGAGGCCGGCCGCCGGCGTGATATTCCACCGTTCCTTGAATTCCGAGAACCCCACTGACCAGCTGATTTCTACAAATGGCAATGTTTACAACCTCATCTAGGATTGTTTCCGAAGCATTTTACGAGCTCATCAATCCTACCGCCTGACACAGGTAGAGAGGCAAGAAGAAAGAAAATTGGTATGCCCATTACTCATTTAATCCATATATTTAGTTGAATTTGTAAGAAAGTTATTACTCATTCACTCCATGTCAAATCTTTAACTTAGGAGCAAGTTTAATTCAATTTAACTCATTACTAGTGTGGCTTGTTCTTATTTAAATTATTATAGAAAACGTGGACATAAATAACCCCAATTATAAGTGACTTTGTTTGAAATAATCTCAAGTACTCCCTCCCGTCCTTAGACCGTAATTCGTCCCAGACTAGACCAGATCAGACCAGATCAGACCAGATCGAACCAGATTGAACCAGTTCAGACCAGACCAGACTTGGATATTTATAAAAATACAAAGAAACCAGACCAGACCAGACCAGCAAATTACAGTCCAAGTAAAAACATCCTTAATGAAGTTTACACTTTGACTTCACACATATTAATGAAATATAATTGACTTTACTGTAGAGTACACTGTTTGACATTGTATGACACTGTTTGACACTGTTTTGCATCATTGTAGATTTGTTTGTCAAATAAGGCAAATAAGGAAGTGTAAAGTTTAATATGGGACGACCCGAAAAGGAAAGTGTAAAGTTAAATAAGGACCGAATGAAGTATTAATTTTCTCAAAATAATTGCAATTATTGATAGAAAAAAACTCAAAATACTCCATTGACTTATAATAACCCGTAAATTGCTTATAATATTTACGAGTCAATGGAGCATTTTGAAACATTTTTTTGAGAGTAATATGAGATAATTGATACTTTGGATCATTTTATGCGGATAACCAATAGTTGAGATTATTCTCGTTCATTTTTCTTAATTCCTAATTCAAATTACATATGTTACAAGCAGAACATATCAAATCGGATTACAAGCATTCAAATCAAATCAAATTTCATCAAAATTATTTTGATCAAATCAATGGAGAACATTAACTCGATAACCGGATGGTCAAAGATTTTATAGTTTGGTGTAGTCGAAATTCCAAAATGGGCTTTTACTTATGTTAAATAACCATCAAAATTCCAATTCGAATTTGTCCAAAATTTTATAGTTTGGTGTAGTTTGATATGGTATATTTATATATGTTCTGAATTGGTCTGATATGATAGATGTTTGATCTATGTGTATTTTACAATTGTCTAAATCTGATCTAGTGTGATGTAACCAGATCTGTCTAATTCTGGTGTGGTTTGATTTGATTTGGTTTGGGGTTGAAACAGTAAAACACCCTAAGTTCTCTTTCTTACAAAATAGAAACAAATAAATTGAACGCAGAATTAAAGATGAGGGAGCCTATTTTGACCTCGAAACAAACGAGTCATCACACCGTAAAGGTTCATATTAGGGGTGGGTACGGCCCGAGTAATTAATAAATTTTCAAAAATAGCCGGTTCCATTTAGTGAGTATATTCAGTCTGGGTTTACCAAGTCTTAAAATAGAAACCAGGCCTTATCCGTCCCGTTTGAAACGGCTTGGCTCGATCCTGGTTCTCGATTCTTATTTTCTGTAAGAAATACCGTCACGCTAACAAAATATCTAGCAGCTGATTACATTCTCAAACTAATTATGTATCAATGTCACCATAATTAAATATAAAAGAAACTTTTGAACTAGTTAACAAAATATCTAACCACAAATCTATAAATTAAATAGCATCCAACCACAAAGTTAAATAATACTTCGTACTAAACTTTGAAATGTAGAAATTAGACACCATTATCCATAAATTAGCACCACAAAGTTGTAAGAAATTAGACTAGTTACTATACATATATATATGTTCAAGAGAACCATTTAAAGCTTCATAAATCTTAAAATGTAAGTAAAGTGAAGATAATTAAATGAATATGGCACACTTTATTGAGTAAGTGTATTTGTTTACAAAAAAAATTAAATAAAGAAACTTTGAGGCAGTTGAAATAATTATAAGTCTACATAATTATAATTATAATTAAAGAAATTTAACTCGTTTAAAATAGGGATGTGAGCTAAATATCATAAACTTACTTTTACGTAGTAAATGTTATAAATATGTTGAACTTTATATAAACAATTATGTGAGCACAATTATCATTGATTTTTCTTTCAAAAAATGTAAATTTATAGTGTTGCATGAATAATTCATTTTTAGGGATAATTTGAGTTTCCACCCCATTTTAATGTCCAAATTGAACTTGGCACCCCATTTTTAAAAATCTTTGTTTTTGCACCCCCAACCCTATATGAAAAGAAAAAAATGCCCCTCCATTAACAATTTTATTGGCCTTCAACATATTCCCGATCGAGTGCATTTTTGTCTGTTCATATGGGATTGAGGTGCAAAATCAAAGTTTTTCAGAAACGGAGTGCAAAGTCCAATTTGCACAATAAAATTGGGTGCAAGCTCAAATTTTCCCTAATTCAAATACATTTAGTATTTATGAGATAATGAGAGTGCACTTAATATTTATAGCTTCTATTTGTGAACTACAACTTAACTAATATTACCTCGGTTTATATATATATATATATATATATATATATATATATATATATATATATATATATGCGTGTGTGTGTGTATTTAGGATCACGTGAGAATTTAATCTTAGGAGAGTAAAAAAGAATAGATATCAACCATTGGATTAGGTTTTCATCATTCGTGTGTTTCTCTTTCAATTGAGGGCAAACTAGAGATTTTCTTTATCTATTAATGAGCACCGATTCTTTCCATAATTTCAATCCCAAAATTTTAGCTTGTTTACATTATTATTTCATGGATTGATTCCATCGTGACTCATCTTCTTCCTTCTTAATCAAAACTCCACTAGAGAACTCATCCATCTTTTTCATAAAAACTTATGGCATTCTTATTTCCTTTTTATGTCTTTCCTTGATTTCTTCAACAATGAGAAATGGTTTCTCCATGGATTTTATTATGTTTGCACAAACTTGAATTTCATCTTAATCACACAGTATTCAAGGGAGATGGCTTTTATGATCTAAATCTTCCACAAGTATATTGTAGCTAGAGGTGCAAGAATCGTCATGTACACAATACCATTGTGCATTGAAACATTAATTCAACGGCAGATGAAATAAGTACCTGAATTAAATCTAAATCAGATGGTATTGCTCCAATGACAAAGAAAATGTCATCATGTGTGGCTACATTCTCAACAAAACCACACCTAACGTTGTGCGCAATTCTTAGTTTTGAATGCAATGTGAAGATCCCGTTATGCACAATTCCTAATTTTGAATGCACTTCAGAAATCATATTAGCACCATAGCAAATATGATAGGGCACCATTTTATTGTACACATGCATGAGGGTAAAATTGCATTATTAATTAAGATCTACATGAGAATGTTATTGAGAATATTAAATAATAATGTACAATTTAATGGGTAGAATGAATCACTTTGTAGGTTTTAGACGTAACATTTCATCACACAAAGCTTGTGAGGATGTTGATGTGCATCGTGTTATCAATAATTGTGCATAGTGTATTAACACAAAATGTGCATCACGAGCTAATCGCAATACTTTTAAACATAATGCACCTATATTCTTTTAATAATGCACATTTAATAATATATGACTTTCTTCTTCAATTATTTAAGAAGTGCACGATGTTAGCAATAAATGTGCATCTCAATCTCAATAAAATTGCAACAACAATTGTTACTTTTGAGTCAAAGTTAATGCACAAATTTGGATAAAGATTTTATAAATTATTTATCCGAGTTTTGTGCTACAGAATGCTAAACGGAAAGGAATTCAGAAGTATTTAATAGAGAATGATCAATTAATGAGTAGTTATTAGTCAACCTAGTTTTTAGGAAGACTTCCTAATTTAGTGGTTTATTTTCCCACGTCAACCACCATGAAGTTTACCTTTGTACCCTTAATTGATTATATGGTTGCACTCTTTCCATTTTAAACATACACGTTAGGCACCAATAGTGGAGGAAAGAGACAACTAGGATTAAAAAATAACCATCCGATTGAATTAATCAAAGGTTAGTTTTTGTTCTTTTTTCTCTCCTAAGGCTTCTTTCTCACGGGAACCAAACCCTATATATATATATATATATATATATATATATATATATATAAAGTACTCCTCATATATAAAGAAATTTAATACATATATATAGGATCAAATGAGAACAATGCTTAACGTGAGAACGTGAGAACACCGCATTTACCTCAATGTGATGCATAACGAGGCTCACCCAATGCACTTTTTCGAGTTCAGCATAATATTTACCAAAAGTCAACTAAATTTGATCAAAAACGTGGTGGCAATTTCGTAATTAAAACGAAGTGTTTTGCCATTGCGAAAAGTGCAACAGAAACACGCAAAAGTGAAACGCGGTAAGGAAAAAGTGCAATCGTTCGCACTTTTCATGGGAGAACCTCTTTTTATTTGATATCTTCCCTATATATATATATATATATTGTATATACAGACGGAGTATATATTAGGATCAAATGAGAAAAGTGTTTATGGTAAGAAGTGAAAATGCAACCGGTACATTCAATTTGAGATTTAATGGTTGTTTAAGTGCAAAAAATATTTAAAAAAATGATGAGTGACGCGGTGACAGTTTCATAATTAACTCAATCTTTTCTCAGATCGAGTAAAAGTGCATCAGAAAAGTGTACTAAAAAGGAGTAAGCGTGTATCAATCTCATTTCTCAAGTTAAAAAGTCTTTTTATTATAACCTAACCCTATATATGTGTGTGTATATAGGTAGAGTTCAAATAAAAAGTGGTGTTCCTTTGCAAAGTGCGAATGGTTCCACTTTTCGCTTAGTGTGATGAATTATTTCATGTTTATGAAATTGTAACAACATTTTTTTATCAAGTTTAGTGCATTGTTGGCTTATTTTGAGTCATTAGTGAAGAATTCAATTTCCAGGACATATCCAAGTACAAGCAAATTGAAGAATCCAATTGCAACAACCATGAAGCTTCCTCCATGTGCAAGCAACAACCATGAAGCTTCATCCATGTGCAAGAATGACAAAGGGAGCTTCCTCAAAATTTCCTCATGTTTAATCCCACCTTCCTCCCACCTTCATAGTACCTAGTTTTGGTGCTATAAATAGAGAGCTTGGAGAATCTTTTTATTATCAAGTAAATTAGAATAGATCATCAT